CGTTTCTTATGAGAACAGACCTGCAGAAGGTATATGAAGTATTCCACCTTTTGTCTTCTTGTGACAACACGTCTACAGAAAATGAGCCACATGTTACAAAGCATGTGGCCATTTTTGACCAAGAAAAATACAAAATTACTTTTGTCTTTAAAACAAACATCATTCTGTAATTACTATGAAACAATATATTTGTGTGAATGTTTATGAAGCATTCACACGATTGTGATCCATTTGTCTTCTGTACATTTTTTGGCGTGATTCTCGTCCCCCAGTTTTTGTGCTATTTTAATCAATCATGTATCAAAACGTTCAGCTCTTTCAGGACAATCCTGCTATGACTTTTGGTACTGGTGCAACTTTAGCTTTTTGAAATATTTAGCCTTTTCTGCCATTTTTATTTCGCAAACAAAATGACATGAGCTCATGTTACATCCTTCAAATCTCGGTTTACAACCATTTACTGCTCCTTTCACATTTTGTTCTGGTTCAGCTTCTTTCAGCTTCCTCGTGCAAATTTTAAAACATTTCAACTACTATTTTCAGCTTATGTCCTACTTTCAGCTGTTTTGTGCTCCTTTCAGATTCTTTCTGCTAACTACAACATTTTTGTGCTTTTTCCAACTTCTTTCTGCTAACTTCAGCTTATTTCTGCTGGTTTCAGCTTTTTCTGCTATTTCAGCTGCTATTTAGCAATTTTTATGCAAATTTTAGCTTATCAGCTAATTCCACATTTTTTGCACTCATTTCAACTTTTCTCAGCCAAATTCAGCAAAAATGTGCTCTCTCCACTTCTTCAGGTAATTGAAGCTTCATTCTGCTTTTTCAGCTACCGTTCAGCTGTTTTTCTGTTTTGTTGCTTATTTAAACTTTTTTCAGATAATTTAAACTTTTTGGGCTCATTTCTGCTTCTTTCAGCCTAATTGGGCAAACATGCTCTTTCTGCTTTCTTCTGCTAATTTAACCTTGCTCGACCATTTCAGGTAGCTTTTTAGCACTTTGTTTAGCTAATTTCAGCTGTTTTCAGATAAATTCAAATGTTTTGTGGTAATGTCTGCTACTTTCAGCCTAATTAACTTCTTTCTGCTAATTTCAGCTTGTTACTCTCCTTTTAGCTTATTTCTACTATTTTCAAATGTTCAGCTACTATTTAGCTGTTTTTATGCCAATTTGAGCTTTTTTGTGCTCATTTCTGCTTATTTAAACCTAATTCAGCAAACGTGTTATTTATGCTTTCTTCTTCTAACTTAGGCTTTTCTTTCATTTTGTCTACAATTCAGCATGTTTTTAACTAATGTTAGTTGTTTTTAGCAAGTTCTTCTGCAATAAGCATTCACACTGCATTTTTGCAGGAAATTAAATTTCTCTAGTTCAGATTTAAATGAAAAAGTACATTTTAGGCAGTTTGATACAATACCATTTATTTAATTTGTAAATTGATTCACTCCACTAACAACACTCCCAGTGGTAACATCAACACCAACCCCCCCCCCCCCCACAACCCCCCCCCCCCCCCCCCCCCCCACACACACACATACACACACACACACACACAAAAGTAAAATATCTGACAAAATCCCAAAGACATTGGATGAAACTGTCATGATACAGAATTAAAATTTCACACACAAAACAAAACTTCCAATGAATGGAAGAGCTCTTGTCTCTTTCAGCAGAATTGTAAAGTTTTTTGGAAGCGCACTGGTTTTCTTTTTGAAATTCATTAATTCAACCTTTATTTATACCTGTTAATCCCATTGAGCCTCGGGGACTCATTTACAAGAGAGACCTGAAAAATCACTCCGGAGTGCAGACAAAAAGACGTTAATTTAAAGTGATTTTCCAAGAAATTATAGAAAACACACACTTGTTTATTTAAATCTAAAAAAAGTTGAAATATTTAAAATAATATATCTATTTTACTGTGCATGTGCTAATTACAACTAAAATATTTTATTAGACTGAAATAATAAATTACCAAGCAATGCAATTTATTATGACCTTAAAATACTTTAACACAAGTGAAAGCCAACTAATCAAATCCATGTTTAAGCACAAATTAAAAAAAAAAAAAACAGTCAGTAAAATGATTTGTATTACAATAGTCCCTCGCTACTTCGTGGTTCAACTTTCGCGGACTCGCTCTTTTGTGGTTTTTCAAAGTCAGAGTGGACATGACACACAAATGGCTGATTGATGGATGAGCCACACGAGCGGCATGGATTGCTTATTTAAAATAAATTATTTTAAATGATGTAGCACCTGCTGCACCTGTGTGCAGCCCACAGGTGCAGCATTTCTGCTCTATGCTGAAGCAGCTTTGTAAAGGGTTAACCCTTTGCTGTCCAGCTGCTTCGATCGACTTTTGCCTTCCAGCTTAAAATTCAAAGTATGTCACATTGTAAAATCGTCATAATCACAAAATATAAAAGTGTTAAAAGTTATTTTAAATTATTTTAGAACTTCTATGTCCAGTTGTTACAGTGCAATTAATCAAGAAGTGCATTTCTGCTCCGTGCTGCTGTTGCGTGAAGTGTTAACCCTTTGCTGTCCTGCTGTGCTTCTCTTCTCGACAGTTTAAATTTAAATACTAACTTGAACTTTGATTACTATATTCCTACTTTGTAGTTTTTCACTTATCGCAGGGGGCATGGTCCCAAACACTCTGATAAACGAGGGACTACTGTAGACGGTATGTTTAGTTCCGTGCTACACATTTTTGTCCAAGTTCTTTAAAAAAAAAAATTGCTTAAGAACTCCCAAACATTTGGGTAATATTTAATTAATACATTAGGAATCAGTCAAATTTATTCCCTGTGGCAACTATAAATTTTTCATTACTGAAAGCTGAGATACGTAGCACCTGCGTGGTTTATGTTACATTTATTTTCACTTGTTCACTTAATGGCAATAAAACAAATAATTTACATTTTATGAAACAGAAAAGAAACCAGCATTTGTTCAATAGTCGGCATGTGCTCAAGAGATTGTGCTGTTCCTCAGTAATGAATTACCAACATGGGGGACAATTAATGTCTCACACAATGTGCTCAGAAGTCAGTTAAAACAGACATTCTTCTATATCTTGCTGTTTTTGACTATGAATGACTGAAAACTAGATAATACTACGGAGGCAGAAAATATTCAATGGACTGTTACTCAAACCTGAACACAGGAAATAGAGATATGGCAAAAAAAAATACTCCTACCTAAAACTTATTTTAGTATTATACATTTAATTTTATAATGCAAAATATTAACTGTGTTCACGTTTTTCCATATTTGCTATCTTAAATGATGAAGTGATTAAACTGTGTAACTATTGAGTCAAAGCAAAAAAAAAAACTAATTGTTTTAGCTGTGAGGGAAACTAATTCATGAGAAATACATCGTGTTAATATCTTGGGCAGTAATAAAAATTTAAATGCAAATACCGGTAATATTTATTTTTACTTTTTCATAATCTCAAAAAAGATATATCTGTGTCTATTAAAATTCCCAATTTAGAGGTCTGTGATGTCACCCTCATCTTTATCTCTCCTCTTGGCTGTATGTCCAAATACATACCGTATTTTACGGAGTATAAGTCGCATCAGTCAAAAAAAGCATCATGAAGAGGAAAAAAACATAAGATGCCTCGGCGTACAAGTCACATTTATTATGTGTCACCGCTGACCCGTTGCGTTTATTATGCCTTTATTTAATGGTCAAAACAGCTTAATTTCACCTAGGCAGAGTCATCCATCTATCTATTGTGGCCGGAGCCACTAGCTCTCCAGCGTTCCTCCGCCTGCACCAACTGAGTGAAGCGAGCGCGCACGGGAGGACTCGATGTTGCAGTTCTTTGAAATTTAACAAGATTAACACTTAAAACCATTTGTTTGCTCAACAATATAGCAAAGGTGTGTCTCAGTTTAACTTTTCCTTAATAAATGCACTTTAATGGTCAAAACAGCTTCATTTTGCAAGGGCAGCGCAGCACCATCCATCCCATCCATCCATTCATCCATCATGGCCAGAGCTGCTAGCTCTCCTGCGTTCCTCCACCTGCACCAGCTGAGTGAAGCGAGCGCGCACGGGAGGACTCGCTGGTGCAGTTCTTCAAAATTTAAAACATCAGGTACAAAATTGTGTTGTGAATATGGAAAAAAATATATATACACAAGTCGCTTTGGCATACAAGTCGCAGGACTGACAAATCTAAGTAAGTAAGTAAGTAAGTAAGTAAACTTTATTTCTATAGCACTTTTCACAGACCAGGGTCACAAAGTGCTGCACAAAATAAAATAATAAATTAAAAACAAACATACAAAACAATAAAACACAGTATTACGCTAAAAAGCAAGTTTAAAAAAGTAGGTCTTAAGTTGTGTCCTAAAAGTATCTATACAATCCAGAGATCGAATGGTACAAGGTAACTCATTCCAGAGGCGAGGCGCCACAGCTTGAAAAGATCTGTCTCCTCGAGTCTTAAAAAAGGTCCGAGGAGCCATCAGCAAGTTTAGATTGGACGACCTGAGGCTCCTAGTCGGAACATAAGGCTGGATGAGATTCCTAATGTAGACTGGCACTTGTCCATGCAAAGCTCTAAAGGTCAGTACCAGGATTTTGTAGTGCATCCTGTAAGATACAGGCAACCAGTGTAAACTTTTCAGGATGGGTGTAATATGTTCCCTCTTATGAGTGCAAGTGAGCAGGCGTGCAGCTGTGTTTTGAAATACCTGCAGACGCGCAAACTCCCTCTTATTAAGACATGTAAACAGACTGTTACAATAATCCAATCTGGATGAGACAAAAGCATGAATAATCATCTCAAGTTCACCATAAGTCACCATCTTACGAAATTTAGAAATGTTCCGTAATTGGAAAAAACAGTTCCTGACAAGCACAAAACTGTGACTTATACACCAGAAAATACAGTAGTTATATACTTTTTTAAAGGATTAAAAGTGATTTTCATTTGCGTGCATGTTCAAATAAATAAATAAATAAATAAACCTCACCTGTAGGAGCAGTTGTCAGAACAAGGGTTATGAGCCTGCACGATCACGAACACATGCTGGAAGTGGGAGCGAATGTTTTTAGGAGTAAAAGGGAGCGCCCCAGGTTCCTGGAACACGATTGTGATGATATCGTTCCCAATATGACGCTTCCGCAGCAACTAGAAAAGTTCATTAACAAAACTGAGACATCAGAGTCAGATAAAAAAAACATTTAGTAGTCGAGTGCAATCCATTATAATATGAATATATAACAGAGAATGGAGTTTCACAGTACCTGCTGCTTATTGTTGGGTGTGTAGGGCAACATGGTTGAAACGTGGAACATGATCTCATAATCCTTATAAGTAGTGTACAAGGAATGGGTGCCTGTTGAGTCAGCTGAGGACACAAGACAAGAGCATGGGAATTTATCATAAACTTAATCTATAAAACAAGACTACTTTCATTATATCATAATTCAAAGACTGCTACTCTTCACCAATATATTTCTAATTATTACCAAGCAGACTATAAAATAAAATCTTTGACTCTCTTATAAAACAACACATAATCTGACAAGCTGTAATTTTATTCTCTCTGAAGTACTTTGGTGTATTATAATTAACAAAATTCTTATTTCCTTCATAAATCTCTGCAGAATTTGCTCCAGCGGTGAAGAGAGACACTGCACATTAATAACCACCTCCGCATTCTATTGATGTCCTCTAGTCAAAGGACAAAACATTCACCAGGTGTTAATGAAAGGACGAGCTTGGCTGAGTTACATCAATTATTGCACTTCTCTTGGAAGTGCTTTGAACAGCTTTATTTAAGTTGTAATCCCTTACAGAAGGTTGTAGTGCACGGTGTAACGCCCTGCAAAAAGAGACCAATCATTTTTGTCTCCGAGCGTCTTCTGCAGTGTTCTGATTGATATAAGAATAATCTGAGCATAAAGTCAAGCAAGGTTAAATATTGTTCACACATGTTGCAAAATTAAGTTTTAGGTTTTTTTCTGAAGCTAACTCAATTTATGTCAGAGCACAAAAGTAATATGTCAAGAATTTTGAGGAAACTTCTGAAACGAATGGTAAACTCAAAAAGAAGACTGCAAACATAACTGACCAGAAGACCATCATTGATACCCTCCATAGGATGGGTAAGCCACAAAAGTTCATAGCTAAGGAGGTTAGCTGTTCACAGAGTGCTGTGTCCAAGCATATCAATGGAAAGTCTAGTGGAAGGGCAAAATGTGGCAGGAGAAGATGCACCAGCAAAAGAGATGACCATGCGCTTCAGCGGATTATCAAACAGAGAAGATTCCAGAATCTGGCAGAGATCCAGAAAGAGTGGAATGAGGCGGGAGTCACTGTTTCAGAAACCACCACATTCAGACGCATCAGGGAGATGGGCTACAACTGTTGGCTTCCTCGGTCCTCTTTTTCGATGAAAGTAAAATGCGCATTTCATTCGAAAATCAAGGTCCAAGAGTTTGGAGGAAGAAGGGTGAGGAACAGAGCCCATACTGCTTGAGGTCCAGTGTGAAATATCCACAGTCAGTCAAGATTTGGAGTGTAATGTCTGGTGCAGGTGTTGGTAAACTCTGATTTCTTAAATCCAAGGTCATCGCAACAGTCTACCAGAATGCTTTAGAGGACTTCATGATTCTTTCTGCTGAGGATCTGTATGGAGTTAACTTCACCACTTGCTCTTGCCGAGATTGGATCTCCCTTCCCCTCCCTCTCTGCTTTGCTTTGCTTTGATGCTCTGTCTGTCTGTGAAACTGCTTCTGAGTCTCTCTTGCATATCTTCCGAACCATAATTATGGACTTGATTTGATCAGTTGGTCCCTCAACACAATTGACAACATTTCTTCGAAGAGAAGACAGGCTTTAGGTGAGCCAATTTACCCTGTTGGCAGACACGCAGCTGGATATCTCATTGACTTGGAAGACTTGATGATGTGTCTATCTCTGCTGCCATTTGTGGATTTTAAAGACGCATATTTAATTGGATTTACGATAACTGGTTCCTGCTTTTTGGATTCGGCTGGTTGCTGGCTTTATCAACAATCAAGTAAGTCGTCAGCAGCAACTTTGGACCTGATCACGCTGCTTGCCTTTATGATGGCTTGGTTCATGCCTGGAGTACCCAGACTCAAATGCTTTGGGCAGAACGGATCAGATCTTGGGGATTTTACTCCGTCATGTTCCATCGGTGTGGCCATGTAATTTGGACATTTCAGAACCGAGTGGACCAACACAGATTCAAGATAGATGTCATTAAGTTCTGCCTGTCCCCAAAACAACTGTGTGTTTATCTGAATTTGGCTCCCTTGAAGGCCATCTTATCTGAATTCATCTGGAGAACATTTGATCTGACGCTCACCACCCCCTCCCTGAGGAATTTCCAACGGATAACCAGATGAAACCAGCTGAATAAACATTGTGTCATTATTTCAGGACTCTTGGATTCTCAGTCGTTATTCTTGGCCATTCCCTGGCATACCTCGAGAATGTTTACGGATCTCAATGGAGGCCACTGGCTGATTATTACATCCTTATCAGAACTCTTACAGTGCCCTCGAGAGCATCTATGGACATGCTCACCGCTCTCGTCGTCTCCCTCCTCTGCAGAATGTCTACGTCACTATGTGCTTGTTTGTGCAAAGTGTTTTTCAATATCAGAGATTTTTCTTCTCAGGCAGGAAAAAAAGTCTGATAGGAATTTTTTTTGCCTCCAATTCCTACATACTTTTTGTCTGTCTAGACAGATCTCACTTGTAAACGAGTCTTCTAGGCTCAATGTGACTTATCTGTCTAAATAAAGGTTGAATAAAATCTGCATCTTTTTTTCATTTGTTTCGTTTTGTTTACCCTTTATTTATACAGGTAATCTCATTGAGCCATGAGAACTCATTTTCAAGAGAGACCTGTTTAGGGAGCAGATGGGGGTTAAGGGCCTTGCTCAAGGGCCCAGAGTGGGGTGAATGAGGGTGGGGACAGGTGTGGGTGCTTCGCCTACCCCACGCACATTTTTGATGTTGTCGGTACCGGGGCTTGACCCAGCGATCTTCCAATCACGGGCCCACCTTCTCTAACCTCTGCGCCACCACTTCCCTAACGAGGGACTACTGTATATGCAATATATATACACCTGTATATATTAAAATGATTAACAAAGGAGGTTTGGAGAGTTAAAAGGAGTTGTTTCAAACGATTAGATTATATTGTGTAAGATGGCATAAGAAGATTGCAAATATTTGCCAAGTAAAACATGATAGCCAAGGCAAACAGCCCTATACTGAATTGTATTACTCTTATTGCATTGTTTCCTTATCACATTTGCAATATGTAACAGCCAATAAAAAAGCTTTTCATTTTGTCTAGTAAAGAAAAAGAATATTCTTTACACAAAACAAAAGAAGACATCTGGTTCAGCAACAAATAATAAAATTAATTTAAAAAAACCACACTAAACTAGATTTAACGCTTTACACACAACAAAATTTCTTCCCGATACCAGTCAATATAAATTTGTGATTTTACTAAATAAATACAACCTAAAATGTTCAAGGCCTAACAATATGTAAACACATTAAATCAAAGGGGTTTGTGCCTTCCTGTAACACACATGTTCATCATTTGCAGGGTGTGCGACTAATACGAGACTGGCATGAACGTACTCTTTGTGTCAAGTTGAGCTCGGTACTTGTTGAAGCCTTTGAGTCGAACTCTCTCGCCCAGTAGATGGAGGAACTCTTCCAAGGCAGGCCCAGCTGCTTCGTTATTGTACATCTCTTCCTCGCTGCTCTGGCCTGCCATGCAGTACATCACCCCGACCTTCCGCTGGAAGCTCAGCTGTAAAGAGAAGACGAAGTTCAAATGAAAAGGGGAGACAGCCATATTGCCAAAGTCACCATGTTGACATTTTAGACAGAACTTGTGCTGGCGTTTGAATTATAGCCTTGAGTTGTTGTGTAGTCAATACAGTACAATTTTCCCAAGAAATTATGCTGACATTTTCAAGGGTTTTAACTATTGATCATTGCACCAGTGAATGTGAACATCAAAGAGCTTGTTTAGTATTTTTATTTATATTTGCCAAGGCTGAGTTGTGTTTTATTATGTAAAGCTTTGCAAAACATAGTTTTTCAATATAAATTTCATATAAGGGCTATGAGGAAAAATAGAAAAATACAACTAAAATGAATGACTACAAAAATCCTGTCCCACGTGTGTTAATTACAGGCTAGTTAAGATCTTTGGATAGATATATGCAGTGTGGATCAGATTTTGAGAAATCGCTCAGGCATCGCCTAATACTGCACTTTTTGTTTGCTGACAGCTGTATCCAAAGGTATGAATAAAGAATCATGATGCATGCTCAATAATCCAGGTAGAAAAATTTAAAAAAGTTAAAGATTTAACTTTTTTAGATGTAAATAAAGAACTTAATTGAGTACAGTAATGTAGTCAAACCTTAAAAAAAAAATTTCTTTTAAACCCAAAACAACTTCCATTTTGCAGTTGAAGACATTTTGCCTTTGAGGAGCTCAGATTGAGAAAGCTCACCAAATGGTAGGTGAAAAGTCTTCAACTGCAAAACAGAAGTTGTTGTGTTTTTTAACTTTTTTTTTTTTTTTTAACCATGTCCTGGATGACTGAGAATCTATACCAGCATAGTCAAACTTATCCCCCAATTAAACACTTCAAAGTTGTCGCCATACCCCTTGTTCGTCAAGTTTCATCAGCTGATCAGTAACTTTAGGTGTGTTGAGTGCCAGGCGCAAGCAGTGAACATTGAGCTCAGGAAGGAGGTACTCCAGCACTTCTTTGAGGGGCAGACCTCGAGCAAGACCATGCTTGGATGTAGATGGCACTGCATCTTCAAGGATGGACCCACGCAGGGTACTAAGCTAGAGACAAGAGGAAAAAACAACACAGATTGTAAGGTCAATACAAAATATTATTTTTCAGTAAAACTAAGAAAATGCCTCAGAATCTGAAAATCACTAACTCAACCTAATCAGTTTCATTGGAATTTACCAGTAACAAAGAGCCAAACGGCTTGTCCAGAGAAACCTGTAGTAAGTTTTTAGGACATCTAGGCATAAATTCATACAATTTGTTTGTACTTGCATGGCCATTGGTGCATAATGCCATTTCTTAAAAATCCAGAGTAGTAAATGTATTACAAGTACTTCGGACATATGATACCTGCCAGGTATCTTTGCTGTTACATCAAAGTGTAAGAAAATATATGACTAAAGGAGAACACACATATGAATGTAAGTTTTGTTAATATAGATTCTAACATAAACACTCTTAGGCTACATGTTACCAGAAACACAAGGATGTCCATGAATAAATCAGGAGGACTGTAAAAGTCCAAGGCCCGAGTATCTATCATGAGGAAATAAACAGAGCTGGCAGTCTATAACTGTCCTGAGGCACTTAGAAGTGTCTGTGTTTTGTGTTTGGTTGGGACAGGGTTGCTGTAAGCACACTTTGTTTTCCACAAAGTGAAGAGAAGAAGTGCTCTTAACTCAAGAGAGGACACTAGTGCTTGATGGACACTGAACTTTTGTCTTCAAAATCAGCGCATCCCACTCACTCTCTCTCACTGGCACACATACATTTATTCCTACAAAGCTCTCTATTCTGAAAATAGAATTTACAAGGGATCCAAGGAGTCACACACACAAAAAAAAACAAAAAAAAACGACAACAGCACAGTAGGCTGTGCGTCATCTTAAGCAACTGCTAAGGCAATTACTCATGTTAGGCTTTAATACAAGAACAATGCTTTTCCTTCCTCGCTTTAATACTTTTGGTTTTATTTTAGTCTCATTTAACAGCAAAAAAGCACCGTTCTGTCTTTCACAGACGAAGGCTGGCAAACATGGTGGGTGGAGGGAATGAGGACATGCATCTCTAGCTCTGGTGTGCAGAAAAGGAAGGATTTACAAAAGATTTTGTCTCATTGAAAACCACTGATTATTGCAAAAAACAACGAAAAGAGCACATAAAAATTAGATCAAACATGCAAGCATTTGAGGTGATAAAGAGCTAAGGAGGTAGCATCTTGAGCTGACAACTTGCGCCGAAGCTCTTATATCTACCCCCAACTGAGAGCAGATCCTGTGTGTTAACGCCTACACATTTTGAACTCATAATAGCTTTTCTGTAACATCACTCAGTACACAGTGTACTAAATATTGACACATTTGAGAGCAGGAACATTCACAGAAGGAGCAAATACTAAAGAAGCAAATACTGATGACTGAAAAGCTCAGTTAAAAACAAATCCTTTAACACGAGAAACAAGAATTAAAGCTACCACAACACATTATATGGTAGTATTTAAAACAGAGGGTCTTTGTTTCAGATTACCTCACTTGTTCTGAAGATAACCCTGTAATTGTACTGCTGACCATGTTCTTTGTGTTCCTCTAACTTCTCCCTCCTCAGGCTCACAGCCACTGGTCCCAGATTCTCATCTACTCCCAGATAATTCCAGTGCTCTAGGATTAAAAAGAATAAAGATTTAAAACATAGATTACCATACAATAAATACAGAATAGAAAATCACAAGACAATGCTAGAATACCTAGCAATTACCTAAAAAGCCTACATCCTAAAAAGTTACTCTAGCGTGTATTAGAAAACTTTCAAAAATATGACTGTAAATAGCATTTTCTCTGCAAATACATTTAACCTGAGACAGATTATTTAAGATAAAAAAAACACAAGTCTCTAGAGCCTAAACTGTCTAATGTCCTTACCTCTAAGATAGAAATATTTTCTGTAGTAATAGGCACCAAGGTCAACGTGTTCCACAATATATCTTTTAGATCTGTCAGTGTGTTGGCTTGGACCATCTTTAGGAGCCTCCAACACTGCAACACCAGCATTAGTAAAATGGGTCATGAGAGTAACATCCAGAGGTCCTTCCTCTGTACTGCCAGAAGAACTGCTAGAGCTTCCACCACTACCTATGCTGCCCTGCTAGAAGACAGATAACAAGGACAAGTGAAGTGAGCAAGCAGCATCAGAATATTTATATATTTTAAATATTTCATTTAAAAATATATAGATTTTCATATATAGCACAAATTTTTCAAAATGGTGATAGTTAAAATTTCTATCCACCTCATTCCTGGGGGCTCTACTGTCTAAATCAGGGCTATTGCCAGAAGTGGCCTGCGGGTGACTTCAGTCCGGCCCACCAATGAGTTTGTAAAAAAAAAATATATGTATATATATATA